TTTTTTTTTTTTTTTTTTTTTTTTTTTTTTTTTTTTTTTTTTTTTTTTTTTTTTGATGTTTTCCATACACCGTTTCCCTTCCTCGAACGTATTTGTTTGGTCACAAGCGCATCTGGCTGACTAAAATCTTTCATAATTCTATTGGTTTTAAGTTTCTCAGGAACATTTGTCTGACCATTTGCCTCTTGTAACTTATATATGTTTAGGAGAATAAGTGAAAATATAAGAACAGAAGCCTCTCTTCCCTAGTGGCTTTTAGTAACGAAGTGTAAACAGTTTAAGGAAACTAGTCTGCAAAACTATCACTATGGAACCAAATAGCTGCCTATAATTTTATGATGGTTGCTAGCAAGTGTATATGATGCTAATTTCATTCCACCCCATGGACAGCTGGTGGCATTCGCCAAAACGGTCAAACAAGCAGGGGTGGGTTGGCACTTCCCTCCACTCAGCATCATCCTCAAGCGACTGGAAGGACTGCCGTGGAAGGCTGGAGTAACCCGGGTTCCTCACGTGCACAGCAAGTGAACAGGAGTAGGAAAGATGCAAGGTACAGGAGTGCCTAAACTTACAAAATTATAGACTGGATTCAGAACGATCTCATGCCCTCTTTTGCGAATCCATTCTTCCATTTCAGATGGATCTCATGCCCTTATCTGTGTGTTAGTTCTTCATAATTACTTACCCCTTGCATATACTGTGGAACGATATAGTTGCTGTTGACGAGTATTTCATCTTATCTTTTTTCATGACCAGCAGTTCTCCTGATGTTATTTGATGAATCTGAGAGTGGTTTTATTAGAAAAAAAATGCCAATTTTAGAGATTGAATTAAGGTACTGACTATATTTAGGGCCCGTTGCTATTGCCGCTGTTCTTTTTGGCTTCGTTTAAACGTGTCGTGTAAGAAATGATCAAGTATGTAGGTATCCAAGAACTGGGAGTTGAGAGTGGAAGGGAAAATTGAAAAAAAAAAGTGCTTAAATCGATCAAAACTGCTAGGAGAACTGGTTATATATGGCAGCATGAGTGTTTTGGATTATGATTTGAATTTATGACTA